ACACAAATATATATATATATATATATATATATATATATATATATATATATATATAACGACAAACCAGTAAATTATGGATTTGGTGTTGGATAATTATTGTCAGAGGGTCACCAGAAGAGAAGCAAGAGATAGATTCGAGCGTGCTTTTTGAATCACTGCAGATCACAGCTTCATGTCATCGATTCAGCGAATTTAAGTGCCTCCTAGAGAGAATATTTTTTCTGTAGAATAAGCGCTGCACGAAGAGTATATTCGAAGACTCAGCATGATACTATGGCAGTAGAATGCACACCATACTTTACCATTCTACTTTACATAACTTTCTCCGTACTCCGTAAAAATATTTTCGGATAATCATTAAAAGGATTAAATCCGTATTGGATTATGAGCTGACTTTAGTCTGCGACTTTCTACATCATCTGTAATATGACACATTCGACCAAAACATTTGGAATTAAAAACTATATTTACCTACCACGCTCGACTCACAATCGGGTGAATAAGTAGTATCCCTGGGATGGGGAATAGCTATTAACATACCTACAAATGTTGAGTGTTATTACTGCCCATGCCAAAAGTTAAAAATCGAGGCGGGGCGTAGCGGGGCCGAGATTTTTAATTTGGACGAGGCAGTAATAACATTGTAACATTTCGTGGTATATTCAGCGTTTTATCGGTCACCATAAAACCTCAATTTTTTTTAGAAAATTTACATTACTGCGATATGAAATTCTATTGTTGCGGTACGATAATCGATTTTGTTGGGTATTGCTTTCGATATATCTATTTCAACAATACACTTGTACGAGTATATCGTGGCGCGAGGAAGGTGGACGCTGAAAATTCGTCTGCGCCTTAAGAAATTTTGGATGCAGCTGCGGAAGCCACGGAGATTGCAGTGGAGAAAAGCAGAAAACAGAGGAGAATTGGTATCGGTGGCGAGTGACCACGACGTGGTGAATTAGGCTGCGACTGGACCAGTGACATTGCATGGTGTGATGCCAAGACAGTAGTGTAAGCTCATCTAGATGCGAGGCATGTTATTAGTGTTGCTGAATATCAGTTGAGGCATTCTGGAGGCCACGTGGTTTCGGTCATGTATTGCGAGTGAGCGTAGATAGCTTGGCGTGTGGGACGCTTTCAACACGTACGGCGCCGTACGCGTCTAACGCATCACGACGAGGAAGCAGCCTCAGGCAAACAACCAGAATTCATAAGTATCTGGATAACATTGTATAGTAGGACATAATTCTATTAGTGGGGAGATAATGATAACTTTATGGTTAATTTGTCTAAAGCCCATAATAACGTATTTGTGAAGGTCATAGGAAAAGCTACAATATCATGACAAGGGCAAGTTAAAGAAAAAACACGGGATCACGTTAAAAATTATGTGATATTTGTAACAGGAATTATGACAAAAGATATATTTTCTTAATGATATTTAATGTGAATTTGTAATATTAGTATTAGTTGGCATCATGATTGTAATAATGTTGCAGGTGCAATAGTAAAAAAAAGTAACTGTACAGAGAAATTATTAATGGTTTAAATATCATGATATTGTAGTAAAAGGTGATCACTATGATTATAATAATCATAAACTAATAAAATAAGGAAACAAGAGAAAGGTTGAATTTAGGATTTTATTACAGGGACATACATGCCTAAAATAATGAGTATATGACTGTCAGGAGCCACTGAAAATAAATATGATTATTTTTGTTCTTACATAATCTTTTTTATTATTGATTCAATACATATGATCGCCCCCAAGAAGATTCTTTGTCATTATTATTTAATAAACAGAGAAAATAAATGTGTGGTTGTCAACTTACCTGTGTATTTTCTGTCCCCATTAAGAGAGGATTTAATGACAAGTACGGTCACTCTCAAAGTTCGTCTCTGGATCCGCCCCTGAATATTGTGATAATTGATTGCGAAATATATTAAAAGTACATTTTGAATTAAAATAATAGTAATTTTATTCTTTATAGAACCTTTTTCAAATAATCAAATTATTACTTTATAAATTTCACACACCTTACAAATCAGTGTATATACTTTCTGGCGTAAGTGACCATAAAACGTGAGTTAAATAAAAAATGGGAGCTCTTATAGACACACATATATAGGTTCGTGTTTAAAATCATGGATGATTTCGATTTCTATGGTCCTCGTTTGATTTTCGCTATTATTGTGTTTCAAATAAGTAGTTTGTTGTGAATATGTTAATTGACGTGAAGCCAGTCAAACCGGCGAGATACCGCCCGAGCCGGGACAAGCTCTAAGCTCCCGACCGGCCAGTGTGGTAGTGCATATGTGTATGAAGGATAGGACAAGGAATAGAAGGAACGATCACGCGTGGTCCGTGGCCCGTTTGGTAAGGTATTGCTCCGACATTTACCTGGTATTGATCGGAATAACCACGGAAACTAACAGAGCAGCTGGCCGTTAGAAGTCTCATCCACGGTCGGGACTCGAACCCAGAACCTCCCGGTGAGAGGCACTGCAATGCCCTGTATTCGTATGTATACGAAAAAATAGAACGTGTTGGCAATGATTCCGCCCGACTTTGCCGACAAGCTTGTGAATTTCTTTCGGTGGTGGTGCCTTGACCAAATCAATCCAAAACCATCAATTTGGTAGCACTGTTATTTGGTAGCCATAGACGGGGGTACGTGTCTTCAACAACAGTATGAGCTTCCATCCCATTTAAATATGTATATGTGTATGGAATTTTTAAAATGATCATTACTTCTAAAAGATTATCCTTTGTCATCAGGGCAAATATGGTCCCCCAGGACTCGGAGCAATTCCTTAAAGGTAAATTCCAAATTTCTGTATAAGGAGAGAAGAGTCCGTCGCTTGGCCATCTTGCTCGTCTGATCAGATATTTGATTTTCTCTTGTGGGGTCTGCGCATCACACCTCATTTACCGAGCGAATTGTAATGAGCGGAGTGTGTTATAAGGCCGAGTCATCGCCAGGTATACTGGAACGTTTGGGCAAAATACATTTAAGCGATGCATTGAAACAGAAGGTCGAACTCCTTGCACATTGACAACGTAATGCGTAATGTAGACAAACCAGTAAAGTGTAAGACTTATATGTAAGGAATTATCTGATTCTTCCAAGCCCAAGCAGCACATTGCAATAGAATTCAGATAAAATCCTGAAGCTATCAGTAGCTTATTCATGTGATTACGAAAACCATTCTTGGTGCCTTTCCGTTCTCGGCGAACAAGACTGGCAAACCTCATGGAGAAAACGCACTCCCCGTGCAGTTCCGCATGAGAGGCAGTGAATGAACCGTGGGGGTTGCGCAGCCACAAGGTGCTGAAATTCGCCTCCCGATGAAGTTGCAAGGTATCATCGAAATAGTAGTTGCTTAGCAAAAACACTTATTCCAGCCCCCTCTATTTCCCTTAACTTCGGCAGTGGAGTTTTTATTCCTTCTTTCCACTTTCTAGACATGCTATAAACACCAATAAAAGTCTACACATCTAAAACTATCTAACATGTAATCATTCACACTTAAACATGCTACATGAAAATGCACTAAATAGCATACACATTGCAACGAGAACCTCCCACCTCATGGGCGAAGGTTGCTCCTACCCTACGTCAACAATAGTCTCTTCCATGCTTCAAATCAACTTCATGGTATAAGTATTCTTTAGAATTACTTGAATTATTTCGTTTTTGACGAAAAGGATAGAAACAAAACTATATATCCCTTAAGTTTCGTTCTTTCAAGAGAATCACCAGAATATCTTGATTTTTCGTGAAAATTAATACTTTCGGTAAATTGTTATCGTTAAATTTATCTTGCATTAGGCGATAGTCGTACAAAACACAATGTACACTTTAAAAATTTCGACATGTTTAGTCCAGGTTAATTGATATTGTATGCATGCTTAAGTGTCATACAACTAATTGGCTGTTGGTTCTATTTAATGTAGAATCATTTGGAACGGACTTCTTTCCTCTCACGAAACGCGCAAGAACCGTCCCTTCGTCCATGTAATACGCCGTGAATTTCAAACCCGGGAACTTCCCCAACGAAATGACTTTGACGTTGAACCTAAAAATGACACCACTTAAATGTTTCTGTGCGTGTGTGAAGTCGGTCAGGGCGGGAATTCTTGGACCTCCTAGGTAGGTAGAATGATGCATACACTTCTACTACTCCTCATATGAAACTCAAAGAGAACCTAATGTACAGAAGAGATTTTTGCTTTGGCAGGGAGGCCTCATACCAGTTTGTTTTCCCATGCCTACGGATTGGTCAATCTATGGTTGGTACTATTTAAACTTACGATTAATACAGGATCCATACAAATTAGTTAAGCCAATATGAACTGAGCGAACCGCGGGTCTTTCATTTATTACAGTATTATCATAATCAAATATTTAATAAATATAAACATTTTAAATCAAATACGTCTCGCTTCGTGTTTCCCAAACGCTTTGTTAATTACATTAACAAAAATATATTTTTGGGTCTTTGCCTTCATGTTCAAGTTTCTAAAACTAACGAGTGACTTATACGCGAACTCTCCTGCATTCATTCTGGCGCGACCGCAAACATGCCTACTTTGGGCTTCCGGGCGCGCCAACTGATAAGGTCATTAGTCCCAAAATGAACCGCGTGTTATATCTTACGAAGAGGCTGTTTTCCTTCTCGTTGGAACTCAGATTCGTGCTCGCAAACTTTTCTTAATTTTGTATAACAGCTTTTTGCTATAAACTAGGTTTTGAAATGAAATTATAATTCATTCCACCATACAAAGTTTCGTCCATGGTATACAAAGTAGTAAATGCGTTCTATACACGTGAACGAGATGAATAATACAGCAAACAAAAAACGATCTAACAGTGTTTTTATTATTAAAGCATACCATACTACAACAATGTAAAAAATTCTCTCGTATTTTATAATTACAATATTTTCTCAATGTTTTAGGCAGCAAATAAAAATACAAGAATATCACTCACCTCATTCCCAACTATCCGGCTTATTTCTCCAAAGCTCGAGTCTGGATGGTTGGCCGCTACAGTTCGACGGACATCGCTTGAATATAATATGTAGCCAGTCACCAGCTTCTTGCCAGATGTCTTCTACACAAACACAGCAGAGGCGTGAGGAGTTAAATTTCATGAACTGCCTCAGCAAAGACAGTGAACATCAACTCTAACCTTCTTGGAGATGGGTGTGGCCATGGAGACAGGGGTGGGAATATCACCCGATCCAACAGAAGGAGGCCCCCCATCCAACGAATCTTCCAGCATCATCTCAGGGTCTCCGATCTTGGGCAGCAAGGGTGAGGGAGCCTGCAAGGCAAGAAAACATGAAGGCCACCTTCGCACCAGCCAGCACGGAGAATGCACTCGCAGGCCACAGCACCGTGCTGCATGCTCCAGCCAGCCCTTTCTACATGTTCTCCAAACGCACAGTTCATTAGCCAAAATCCACTACACCTGGAGTAAAGAGCAAAGAAACCAACATGCTTAGGGCTGTTGATCCCATTATCTGGATGAGAAGAAATCAAGAAAGAAGGACCAATAAAACACTAATCTGCATCTGTCTTTAAGAGGAAGTGTATGTTATTTGCATGCTGTTGGATATCAGCCTCCATCGACTCCTTCCCTGTACCAATAAGATAATAAGCCATTAAAATCTGACATTCCAAAAAGTAACAAGTAATATAAAACAAGGTCATTTGTAAGCGAAAATATGTTTACGATACAGAAAGAGCGAAATGATTATCTGACGATTTTCGCACACAACTGAAATACTAAAAAATCGCAAACAATATGTAAACATGAGTTTTTAAAATACTTCTCTTTTAATGTAGAACCCTTGAATCAAACACCAATAAAAATAACATTGCAAATTAACGCTATATCGTAACTACATCCACAGCAATATTAAAGCATCAACGTTTCTACTAACAGGTTGTCACAGATTTGAAATATATTTTGGCACAAAGAAATTCATGTAAAATAATATTTGTACTTTTCTTTCTTATTATCCTAGTTCGTGAAGGGAAAATTCGAAGTTGCTAGTTTATGGATTATTTTCAAAGGAATGCTACCAATAGGTCACATCTGCTAAATGGCTACCAGGAAATTAGGTCATGCTAAACATGAAGTGAAATAGGATTTATTAGTATAATTTTGTCATCTGCAATAGAAGAAAATTAACCAAATTACCAAACTACTAAATCATGCAATATTTATAGTTGTAATGAACAATATAAGATAAGAATAATACAAGAACATTAACAACATTGACCACAATGTAAGTACATCCCATACATTAAAGGTGCCTAGAACCAAAGAAGTTAGTATATAATATTTAGGATATTACAAAAACACACATTTAAGTATTTTCATGTATTTATACAAAACATATGAAACCATTTGAGTATACTATGAAACAACGATTCTACTAAACACACGGATACATGGAACACGTTAATTTCTGTTGACACAAACATAACACATAAATTGCACGAATACGAGTACATCAAACATTTTTGGGATGTTTGTTAGCTTATACACATTTTAGGGGGAGGTGTTGAAACGTGGGACTTAATACAAACTTGGTAATGAAAACCCGTATTTCACAATCTCCTGTTCCAACTTGAGCCTGACGAAAAAAATGTGACTAAATAATCCGGGGCAAGGTAACACATTTACGTATTATTATACTATAGTACTTTTCCACATCCCAATTTGCACTTTAAACGCTTAGCAAGTAACAAGGAAATATTGGTTAGATTTTCATGCATTTCAACTGTTAGCAGCAGAGAGGTTGCAAAATTACGCAAAGAAGCTGCAAAAAACGATATCTTCAAGATACAAGATACTTCAATTAGCTTATTTCATTCCTTATTATTTGACTATTCTCAGTTATAATCCTCTCCGTACATAGTGTTACATTACGCCAATGTGCCCGTTGGACCCCACGTGTCGGGAGGCCAGCGAGAGGGCGGGGGCAGTCCTTTGGAGGCTAGTTTCCACTAGCCACCAAAGCCGAGGCCTCCCCGAGGGGTCGGGCTGGGTGTGGGGGAATACGCAGAGAGACATGATAGGTGAGAACAGCCGCTGGGCAGCTGGGATCCATATTGCAACCAGGTCCATGGTTCGGTTATGATATGACGCCGCCTCTTGGGAGGTCCCTCGTGAAACGGCTGAAGAGTAAACAGCGGTGGTCATTCGATTTTGAACCGAATCGCGGTGCGGAAGGCACTTGTCACCCGCCAGGGGTTATCGCTAGCTTCGGCTGCGAGGTGTGGCTGTTCGCCACGGGATGAGAGACCAGGAGCGGCGCCAAGTTAGCCGCTGGGGTCTGCGTCCGGGTGAGGCGGGTATGCCTCAGGGATGTGCAGTGCTCAGAGTGCATTGCTAGAGTTTCAGGAGTGTAATTATTTAAAGAAAAACTTGTAAATAAATCTGTACATAACTCCGTGTCTGTGTTTCACTCGCACCCGATGACGACACAGTAATATAACGGCTTTGTACAAATTATAAGAAACTACTTACTATTACTAAAAGGTCGCGTGGAATTCTTAAGTTTATAAGATCCTAAACTATCCTTCAATCATATCAATTTCAGTAAGAAACTTTTTAAGTATGCTAAGTCACATCAATTCAATATCTGTACGTTGCATAAATCTGAAAAAATTGTCCTCCCCAAAAGTTAACATTTGAATCATATCGAGTTTTATGAACCTAAATGTATTGGATAAATTTTATGAGACAATGTAGGAGCCTTGTCTATATTGTTTTAATTTTAAAAAGTTTAAAAAATTGAAGAAATCATCAACTATTGTAACAGAAATCTCCAGTCTGTCCAGCAAGTGGATATAAACAATTTCAAGATTTAAACAATTTAAATATTCCACAAAAGGTTGTTGAGACACTAAAACTAGGAAAGAACTTTCCCCTTCTAATTAAAGAAAATAATAAAAAGCTGTCTTCGATTTCATTAAGGATTTTGAATCTAACATATTGAAAATTCCTGAATGGGTTCACAATGAAATGCGTTCTTCAGTATCCAATAAACTTATTTGGTTCGAAGTCCAATAAAAAACAAATGTAAAGAACGAGACATTTTGCAGAATTTGTTAAGTACTGAAAAGTTTCTACAGCAACACCCGAATCTAAAAATTATTCAATGAGACAAATATGGAGCTTATGCCGTGATCATGAGAAATAATTATGGGAGTAAGGTAGAGGCTCATTTTTCTGATAGTTTCAAATTTCAACTAAAAGGTCTTCTACAGTTACTCGAAAGTAATACACGATTTACTTAAGATATGTCAAAAATAATTCCAAAAATAGCTCCTACATTTCTTTAAAGAATTCAATCATATGTACCCTACTTCTTCAAATATAGCCATCGCATAGAGGTTTGTCAAAGTGACGGGGTGGGCCAGAAGCATGACCTTCCTATGTGGCCAGTAGTGCCCTCTGTTGGAACAATTAATTATTTTTTGTCGACATTTTTGAATCAAGTACTAGAGCCTTCGTTTCCAGAAGATTATGTTTATGCGATAAAGAAACTGTTTTGAATTAGTGAATTCAGTAGTCTAGATGAACCCTGATATTTTTGGTGTCACTTGATGTACCCTTCAATCCCTCACTGTCTAATTTTTTTGAAGCGATGGAGGATTTTTGTAGATTAACTCACAAAATTCGTATTCCACGAGCCCAACTCATAATAGTTGTTCGAGTCATTCTGTACAATAAATAGTTTACTTATAATAGCAAAATGTACCGCCAAATCACGGGCACATCAATAGGTGGTTCATTAAGCATAATGTTTGCATAATTGGTGATGCGTAAACTTGAACATGTCCTTCAACTTCAACTCAAGTTTTTGAACTCTTACGTGCGGTATGTTGATGATTCACTCATCATCTTGCCACATGTTGTTATTAATTCTCTGTTGGGATGTTTCAATCCTAAAGTTATCCTTCTGGGTGACTTTAACGCCAGACATAGAACTTGGGGCAGCCTCGGAGCCACAGAAAGCGCCAAACAAATTGCCAATCTTGTAGCGACAGAGCGGAGGCGTAGAGATCGTGCGCACGTTGCGAATAAGCCCCCACGCATTTCCGGAAGTTGAAACAGGGAACCCGGGTTATTGTTTTTGATTGTGAAGGTGCGGTTTGAGTGTGTGGGTTCCCCCGCTCAATTGCCCGTTACTGGATTCCGATCATAGACGCCGTTAACATGGCGTGTTTGGCATCCCTGCAGCGAAGCCCAGTCAGTTTAGAAACTACGTCGTGATCACGAGACTGGGCAGGTTTCGCACATCAGCGAATATTCTCTAGCGTTTGAGCTATAAATCCTAGTAATACTTTGTAGCGATAGCAGTGATATCACTTCACTGATACATTTGAAATCGGCTTTCAATGTCAAATACAATTGTTCACGCCTGTGAGATTCTCGCCCTGAGCTCTACAGATTGATGCAAGAAGAGATCTTAAGAGATATTTGCGCAGAAACTGTCAATAGTTTCATCGCCCTAATGGCGATCCGTTCGACTGGAGAGCGGGCGCGCGCAATCTAGCAGAAAATTCGTTCCATCTCTACGGAGATGAGAGAGCTGCCATGGTCCTGATACTATTCGAAATGCAATCTCGCAGCGGGAGAGCCCGGCCCCCCCCCACATTGGGATCTTTACTCGGCGCTAGGCCGCAACCGGGAGTAAACTGCCCGATTCAGAGCACGCCGGACGGTGGGGGCGCCCGCGCGCGTCCACCACTCGGCCCGGTGTACGCGCGTGGGACGACGTCGCAAAAGAAGCGAATCTTAGCGATTGGCATTGCGTTTGCGTTGACCGCGCGTTCGATAGACGGGCGCCGCCTCACTGCATTGGCTGCCACCTGCTGTTGGTTGGTCGTCAGTGGCGCGTGCGGTCAGCAGCTAATATATCCATTGGCCTGTTGCCCTCTCCTCACCTTGCACGCCGAGTAGATCGGGAGAGGGCTTCGAGCTGAGCTAAAAACTATCAATGCGAGAAGGCAGTGGTGTCCGGACGGGGTCCTCACCGCAGAACAGTCTGCGCGCTCTGTGGCGGGGCGCGGTAGTCGAGTTTTTACTCGAAAGCTCTCTGACATGCGTGCCTGGCGTGTGGCTATTTTCCAAGGCCGTGGAGGGATTTGCCTGACCATGTGCTACTATACCTAAACCTGGCATAAATATAAACTATTCCGAGCAGCTATATGACGTATTAGTCTACTTCGCCATCCTAGGGAAAACGGTTTGAGAGGCCTTGATCCTGTTCACGCTCTGCAACAGGAATAGGTCGCTCAATC